CCCCCTTTTCCGGATAGTAGTACATCTCTCCATATTCTGCCCCATCAGGTCCATCCGGTCCACCACCATGTCCACAACCGACGGCCCCAAGAAGTCCAAGCCGAGAACACGCACCTTTACGGCCTGTCTCACCTGCCGCTCCCGCAAGGTCAAGTGTGATCTCGGCCGTCCGGCATGCGCCAACTGTCAGCGCCTAAAGCTGACCTGCTCCGGCTATGATGCTGTCCTGAGATGGATGCCCGTGTGGGATCCTCACGGAGGCACCAGCAGCAAGGAGGCAGCAGCGACGACGACGACGACGACCGAGTCTGGCGGTGGCGTGCATCAGCCGCCTGTTGGTGATCAAGGACGAAAGGCTCGCACTGAGCTGCTCTCAGGTATGTCGGCATTCGAAACCCCGGCAAGCCATCAGCCCGTGCCGTCCAACGGGATGAGCCACCTGTGCTGTGCGTTGGTCCAACAACATACCGGGACCAGCAAGGGCTGACACGAATCACAATGTACAGCCGACGAACGGAGGCGAGAGCTGGCACGCCTGCTACGCCACCTCCCTGCAGCTCCCTCCTGCGACGACATATCCTGTCTGCTCGATAACCTCGACGACCAGATAGCCCGGCAGGAGGACGGGCAGCAGCCATTCGATCCAGATTGCCAGATGGAGGTCGGCCCCTTTACAGCATTCTCCTCCTCCAAGACACCGCACAATACTGCAACGTCGCCTGCCCGACCTGCCCAGACTGCAGCGCATCACCCTGCAGCGCAGGTGTCGCCGCCGCCGCCGCCGCAGCAGCAGCAGCAGCAGCAGCCGAATCCGGACAGCAATGCATATCCCGAGCTCCTCCCCGCGGACCAGCAAGAACTGTACCCGACCGTCGCCGATCTCGACTTTTCGATTGTTGATGATGCCAGCGTCCAGGGAAGCGCTGGCAGTGTCCACGGTAGCGTCCACGGTAGCGTCCACGGTAGCGTCCACGGTAGTGTCCACGGCAGCATCTCGGACAGCACCGGCAGCGTCCAGCCTGGCGTGGTGATGCCCGCCCTGGACCACGCCGACCGTTCCCTCGACTACGCCGAGAACGTGTCCGGCAACAACAGCTGGGACCTCCCCATATACCCTACCACCGGAGAGCTGGTGCAGCAGAGGTGGAGCCGGGGCCTGCAGCAGGCCGCGCCCTACCAAGACGTGATGCAAGGCAACCTGTACGCCTTCCCCTCGCCGACGTCGAGGCTGTCGGGTGGCTCGCCGTACCTGCCCCCGGACATCCGATTCCTCCTGAACCACTACGACAACTTCGTGATCGACTCGCTCTCATGCGTGCCCATCCCGCGCGAAAAGGCGCCGTGGCGCAATCTCCATCTGCCGTCGGCCCTGAAGGCGTACGCGGAGCTGGACATAATGGGCAGGTCGAGCCTGTTCCGCGTCTCGCTGCTGTACTCGCTCCTCTCCCTGACATGCTACAACCTCAGCTCGCTGTACAGCGCCAGCGCCAACAGCATGGTGCAGGCGGACATGACCGCCGTCGACACGCCCGACTCGCAGTACTGGGCGAAGCAGGCGAGCAACTACCGGGCCATCGGACGCACGGCGTTCCGGAAGCAGATGGAGACGAGGTCGTTCGTGGGCGAGTCGTACGAGGAGGCTCTCCTGGCCGCCATGACGCTGGTGTGCGTGGGCATCATCAGCGGCGAGCCGTGGGACTCGCGGCTCTACATCCTCCAGTGCGAGGCCATCATCAAGAAGGCCAAGGCGACGAGAGACCACAGCTCCGGGCGCGTCAAGGAGCTGCACAACATCCTGACCTTTGTCAAGACCCTGGAACAGTCCACCTTTGTCTACTCGCAGAGCGAGTACATCGAAGTCCTCGAGCACTACGGCTTCCTCCCCAGCGAGATCCACCTGGTCAGGCAGGCAACCGTGGAGGAGGACAAGTCCGTGACGTGGGACGCCGGCGCCGTCGAGGACGAGACGCCCGGGTCGCCCAGCTACGGCCCCGCGCTGGCCGAGTACCGGCCCAAGGGTCTGCCCAAGTACCCTCTGGACATGGTCAAGATGACCAACGAGCTGATCGACCGCATCGCCACCCACACGGCACGCACCGGCTTCTCCCGCTTCGAGCTGCCGCGGGGCCTGGCCGACGAGGCGCAGCAGCTGGAGAACTGCATCTGCGCGTGGAAGGCCGAGGTGCCGCCCGAGCTGCTGACGGGCTCCGACCTGGCCATCAAGGAGGGCCTGTCCCCGCTGAGCGTCGAGCTGGACGAGAGCGACGGCGATATCCGCAACCTCAGCGCCATCATGTCCAGCTACATGCGCACCGCCATCTACCACGCCGTCCTGGTCTACTTCTTCCGCGAGGTCCGCGGCACCAACCCCAAGATCCTCCAGCACGACATCCTCCAGGTTGTCGTCTCCCTCGAGAACCACGAGGGCCTCAAGAGGACTTGCTACCCCTCCAAGCGCATCGGCACCATCGTCTGGCCCAGCTTCGTCGCCGCCTGCGAGGCTCTCGACAGGGACATACGAATCCGCGCCATCCAGTGCATGAGGTATGCTGCCGACGCTGGCTTCCGCAACGGCGAACTGGCCGAGTCGGTGGCCCGTGAGGTGTGGAGGCGTAGGGATAGCGGTGATCCCGAGGCGTCGTGGCGCGATGTCGTCCGCCAGCACAAGCTGTTTATGCTCTTGAGCTAGGACTCCTGGCTTGCCTGCTCTGGCATCTAGGCTTCCTGCTGTCCGGCTGCATGTATGCGCGCGGCACATCTCCTTTCCTCTCCATCTCTTCTCTTCGCTTCATGGTGTCCTGACTCTTACCACCTTGAACCGAACCGGTACTACTGTCTAGCGTGAGCGGCTCAACTCTTTCACTGTCTTCTTTCGCGTCTTCCGTTGGAGGATCGTCTATCTGGTTTTATTTTTACATAGGATGTATACATGTATGCGAGTTATTGATCTTAATACTACCGTTTAATCGTCTAATACGAATATCCCATCCAGAACCTCCTCTAGACGCTACCATTCGTCAGCGAATGTAAAAAAGTGTAGCACACTGCAGATGCAAAGTGTGGCCAACATCACACCCTCAAGTGTACGAGTAGGCAAGTCATAGCGAGGGAAATAAAAAAGACTGGAATTCTTGTATGGCACATGTCGAGAACATCAAGACGGCCCCCCCCTTATGCGCCAATTGCCGAGACTCAAGTCGACACTGTAAACGACGCTGGATCCGTAGACAGACATTGGATATCTGCTCAACTTTTCTTTCTCTTTTTTTTTCTTTTTCATATTGCTTTGATTCCCAATCCCTTTCCATCATGCCCGCCCTTGCTTTTTTCCTTATTTCGTAATAGTTTAACATGTGTAACAGCGGAAGAAAAAGGCGGGAAATACATAAAACACTAAGAGAATAAAAGACACAAAAACAAGAGTTTTGAATAGATATATGAGATGAAGAAGAGAGAAAGGAAAAAAAAAAGGGGGAAAGAAAGGGGAAAAAAGAGGAAAGGAAAAAAAAAAAAGGTTCGTTTTTGTGTGGAGAAGATGACCCTGACATGGGGTTGGGTTGAAGAAGTATATGTTTTGAGAACACCGTTAGTTACACATTATGTTTCCTCTTTATAGGAATTTTTTTCGGTCGGATGAGGTTTGTTCGATTGTAGGAGAGTATTAGATGTTTATGATGACGGGATGATGGATTTGTCGAAGCAGTCAAAGAACTGAAAATTGTCAGCTACGAGTCTGCTATCGTAACGTATGTAGATGAAGTGGAAAAAGAAAGACTTACATCCTCCGATACGATGCCCTGGTTAGCGAGGTATCGTCCCATGCCCTTGACCAGCTCAATTTGGTCATCTGGCGAGAGACCGTTGATGGCAGTCTCGAGGACAGAACCCAGCTTGAGCTGGTATGTGGCGATGAAGGAGTGGTAGTAGACGTAGGCGAAGAAGCCCATGATGAACTGGCAGTCCATGCGGTCCGTCATGCCGCCGTGTCCGGGGATGCTGTCGCCAAAGTCCTTGATCTTAAAGGTCCGCTTGAGGCCCGAGGCGAAGAAGCCGCCGAAGGGTGCGATGAGAGAGGCGAAAGTGGCCAGAACGAGGGCGTGGAACTGGATGGGCGCGATGGTGAATGAGATCTTGTAGTCGCGTGGGAGGAAGGAGAATTCGGAGAGCTGGTAGGTGTGGGGGAGGAAGACGGGGTTGGGGTCGCATTCGAGTCCGGTGAAGATGTTGGCGCCGAGGTCCTGGACCGAAGCGATGGGCGTTAGCATATTACTTCTCGGAGCTTTATTTCATTTCATTCGGAATACCGAAGGGGGATACAGATAGAACAGCTTCCGGGAATTACAAAGACGAGAAGCTTACATTGACCGGGCAGATGAAATACTTGGAGCGCTTCATGAGGTTGACCAGGAGCATGGCCCAGACAACGGTCATGATCCAAGCGCCCAGGAAACCCTCGACCGTCTTCTTGGGCGACAGCTTGATGAGCTGGGTACGACCAAAGGCGATACCACAGACGTAGGCGAAGATGTCATTTGTGATGACGAGGGCGGCGGGGAGGAAGAACCAGATCATGCCCTCAAAGACGTTGTTGAGGATGAAATGAGCCTGGAAGACGATGAGGTACAGGGCCATGTGCGTCCAGGCAAAGTTGGTGAACTGGAACTTGTAGTGACCGGCTTGGAGGGAGGCGACGAAGGAGACGAAGCCTGTAGTAGGCAAGAAATCAGTGTATATTCTATACCTGGTACATATATATATATGTGTGTGTGTGTGTGTGTGTGTGCATCGAACCAAGGTAGGTGGGGGGCGAGGGGGAACATACCAAAGACGTAGAGAACAAAGCTGATGAAGTGGTGGTGAGTAGCAAGAGGTAGAAGGACCTTGTCGACGAGGACGATGTGCTTGAAGTAATAGATGACACTCTCTCCGTAGAGAAAGTACATTGTCGTGGCGAGCCAGTACCAGTTGAGGCTCTTGGTGGAGCTGAGGGACCTGGCGCGGCTGGGGACGTTGGAGATGGCAACGACCTCCTTGAAGGAAACGATCTGGACGAGGGTGATGATGAAGATGATGTAGATGTGACCCATGAAGAGGGAGCCAAAGAAGATGGCAATCATGATGAATGTCCAGAGGGTCCGGGTCCAAAAGTTGGCCTTTTTCTTGGCGTACTCGGCAGCTTCCTGTTCCTTGGTTGGGGGCTTCTATGGGTAGCAGGGTCAGTCCCAAACTCTCCCCTGTCTTGTTCTAGGACATGTCGCGATTCTCCATGAATTAGAAACCTTACCTCGTCGACCGGTTCCAGTGCAGCCTGGGCACGTTGCTTGGTGGGAGAGCCATCCTCGCTTATGTCGCTGATGCTGGACCTGCGAGCATCGGCGTTTCCATTGTGGGTGTTGCGCTGGGGGAAGCGAACGCCCTTTTTCGACTTGGATGCACCCATGATTTCTTTCCTTGTTTTTCCAGTCCTGTGATAACTCGACTCGATCGACTCGATGCGCGCGCGGACGGCCCGGGAAACGTATTCCTGTTGTTGTTGTTGTTGTTGTTATTGGGGGGAGGAGAGGTCGGTTGGTTGGTTAGGCGGTCGCGAAGGACGAGGGCGCCGTGTTGCCACTACTTCTGGAGGGAGATACACCAGAGAGAAGGGAAGCGAAATGAATATCAACACGGGTCGGGATTCGACGAGCGGACCGTAAGGGGGAGAGGGTGGAGTAGGATGTGGTTTCTTGCGGTGATGGTGATGATTTGTTAGAAGGCGAGAAATAAGGATGAGGAGAGTGGATCAAGACGTTGCTGGCTTTTCGCAGCTGATTGTGGCTGATGCCTTACGTCAGGGGAGAGGAGAAGGGTAGCCTTACGTGGCATATAGGAGCGTGTGGGAGCAAGCCATATCAATGAAAGGAAGAGGCCAATTAAATATGCAGCGGGCTACTCGAATACGTTTCTCTTATGGGACATTTCTTTTTCTTTTCTACTTGCAGACTCCTCTCAATATCACCTTCCCGTTCCTTCCGTCAGATAGACATGTGATGAAGTTGAAGTTGACAAGCTGTCGACAGTGGACACCAGGCGTTCCCCTCCCCCCCCTTTTCAACGCCGTGGGACTTTTTTTTTTTTTTTTTTTTTTTGGGGGGTTGCGACGCTTCCGAGGTTCCGGATTATGTGACAATAGATGTGTTATGTATTAATGATCCATCTTATTTCCCCAAAGATGCCTAAAATTGAGCTCAGACAAGCGTGAGCTGCTCTTATTCATTTGTCTGTCCCACATTAGGGCTCTTGTTGGGGAAAGCATCAGCCACATTTTCTCTGCACAGCCACACACAGACACAGCTCTATACCCTGTTCTACAAGAATGGATCATTTCCGGGACCTAGGTAAGTCATACTTTGTGGCGTCATTATAGTAATCCCTATTTCCTGCTTCTTGATCTTTCCTTTAAATAATAAACTTATCAAGTATGTGTATAGACCTACTTCGTATCTATACATGCAATACACGTACACGTGCGTTGTACAAACGTCGAAGGATAACTAACTAGTGGAGTAAGATACATAATCCCCACCATCAATAGCCACACTTTGCTCCCTGCACCGCCACAAAATGATGAAGCAGCCACGATTGGACCCTCACAATCGCGTCCCGCGTATATCCAACTTTTGGTCTTTCGTGAATCATATCTTCCTCTTCCACGAATGCCGCAAACACGCTCCAGACAAGAGTAATTGTTCTCATCTATATAGATAATTCCCGATGCCTCCTCGTATCTTCAACAAAAATGGACCTCGACGAGTTCTCCGACGATGGTCTCGACGATCTCCCGGATAATGCCCTCCAAGAGCTCGAGAACAATGCCATAACCTTTACCCAAGCCCAGCAGCAGTCAAAGTCCAATAGACAGCCGCAGCAGCAGCAGCAGCAGCAACAACAGCAACAACAGCAACAACAGACCGCACAGTTCTCCGACTATGGCTGGGACGAAGACGATGATCTAGACACATCGGAAGTCATAAACGACGCCGGGGTCCCCATCAGCCGCCCCCCCGTCGACAATAGCCTCCCCAAGCAGCGTCCACAACCGCCTCCAAGCCCATACGAGCAACATCACCGACCAGGCCAACCTCCTCCGCGTGCTCCCCAGCTGTCGAACCCGCAATGGAACCCTGCTGTACAGCCTGGCTCCAATCGAACAAGCAACACCACCCTCGCCACACGCCAGCACTTCCCCTCTCAGCAGGCTGCCGGTAGTCTAGGCAGACCCCAGCCCAGCCAGTTCGCCAGGCCACCCGTGCCGCGGTTCAACAATAGCGCCTCGCAGAAACAGCAGCAGCAGCAACAGCAGCAGCAGCAGCAGCATTATCATCATCATGCAGGCTCCCAGCAATCGCAGAGCCAGTATGGGAACAATATCCACGCAGCGTTGCAGCAGCGTCTCCGCGCCCTCGAGGCCGATCTCATCGCCGCCCGCGGGGAAATCCACATCATACGCAACAACTCGGCAAAGGCTGAGCAGCAGCATGCTTCCGAGGTGGCACGGCTCAAGAGTCTGAATGCCGAGCAGCTCGCGCGCCAGGAACGTATCCTCGAGGCAGCGGTGACGGCAGAGAAGTCGGCCAGCACAGAGCTGCAGTTCCTGCAGCAGGACATGCGCGAGGCTAACGCGAGACGTAGGGACGTCCCAGCTGGCAACGGTGCTGGACGCGCCGGTGCTGGATCTGGGGCCCACACGCCCAAGAAGCAGGGCAAGAAGCAGTGGGGCCTGGCAGATGGTTTCGACGACATGGAGATTGTCAACAGCCCTACCAAGGGTCACAACGGTCGCGCGAGAAATTCGGGCACCATCGCCGCCAATGTCGGCGAGCGTACGCCCACCAAGGGCAAGAGGAAAAGGCCCGTCATGGATAGCCCAGTCATGGCGCTCGAGACACATACCGACGATGTCGTCGTGGCAGATCGGCTCACGGCCCCCCCTGCCTCTCAGCCTGTGGCCACACCTGTGGTGGCCGTCGCCGCCGCACCGTTCGAGTTCCTGCAGCTCATACTCGACCATGTGGCCTTCCACCAACAGCCGCCTACGTTTGATGTGCTCTCCCGCTTCTCCTTTCCATCCGACTCGACCACTTCCCTGGCGACACATATATTCCAGACCCTCCCTGTCATGGGCCACCCGCAACGACCAATGCAGCTGCTCGTGGACTTCTCCGAACACATTCTGGGCCTGTGGTCGCGTTGTCTCATTGAGGAGACCTGGGAGCCTATAAAGTACCTGGAAGCCCTCGTCACCTTCACCCTACGCCTACACACAACATACGTCGCCCCCCTCATCGTAACGAGCCTGGCTATGACCACGCAGGCGACCGTCAGGAGACTGGCTGAGGGTCGTCACCGCCTACCAGACGGAGACCTCTCCAAGAGTGCCGAGTACGCATTCCTCGAGCAGCACATTGACACGACCAGCATCCTATCCCTACTGTACACAGCAGCGCTATCCTGCGTGGCATCTATCGTCGAGGTCGAAGGCGGACGCTCCGAGCTCAAGATAATCGACTTCTGGCGCCTCATGTCACTCGACTTCGTCACCCTCCTCCTCACACCGAAGCAGAAGCCTAGCGACATCATCGGCATGCTCGACCTTCTAGCCACATCATCCCTGCCGGAATCCATCGGCCCCGCCGCCGCCGACAAGGAACCGGCCTTTGTGGCCCGTCTGGTCATCGAGCGCGTATCGGCCAAGCTGACCGAGACGGCCCTCTCACCCACGACGCCACACGAGAAGCGCGTCATCCGCTCCACCGCTCTGCGCACCATGCTCGCCTTCACCCGCCACCCCTTTGGGGCGATGCAGCTGGCAACCCACGACAACGCTCTCCCGCGCGTGGTGACATGTCTGTCTGCCTCAATAGACGATCTATACGACCAGTCCACCATACCTCCGCACGTCTTACCCCCATCGGAAGACGAAGATGCACCGCCAGACACATCCTCGCCATCAGCAGTGCTCTACCGTACGATAGCCCAGGCCGTACTTCTCATACACACCCTCGTCACAGACAGTCGAACGGCGAATGTGGCTGATATAGGACAGAAGCTGTCCGTGTCGTATGGAGGCAGTCAGCGTTATCTGATTGCCCTCGGAAGGCTGACCTTTGCAGAGGAGGATCTTGTCATGGAGGCTGGGGTGGAGAGTGATGTGGTTGAGATGGCGCATGAGTTGCTGGAGATGGCGGTGACGCCGGATGAGGGAGCTGTCGTCAGCGAGGCATTTGGCTTCTGACGGACATAGAATCTATCTATATATCTATACATCTATATACATGACATTTAATGACTGACTTACGACTATGCCAGTACGAGCGTAGCCAGAAAGGGGCTCCCCAGCAGGGCCACCAGAGGCATAACCCAGGGAATCGTGGGAATGAGAAGATAGTTCGGAAGAGAGCAAGGGGGGAACGTGGGATCATGTTAGTGGGGTCTTCCCGCGTTCGAGGAACCAACATGGTAAGAACTGAACACATATACGCCCTACGAGCACGAGTATACGAGTGTGAGCACATCTGTCTGTACAGACGGATCGAATGCCACCGGAAGGGAGGCCATTCCGACGACGAATGTGTTGTTTCAAGCACACAATAAGCAAACACTGGATAACCTCACCTTGACGTGTAGAGTCATGACCTAGATATATGATACAACAACGCCACGATCAACAACACCAGCAGAAGCTATTCACAAGGAAAGAGCTTGATGGCTCGTCCTGATCTGACGTTATTATTCTAGACAACGTATCAAGGCTTTAGAAGCTCTATACACAGAGAAACTACACAGACGGGGAGCTTCTGCTTGGTCAGGCTAATCTAGAATAGTCACTACAGTATATACTAGTAGCAGGAGGTTGTTGCCAAGGTAATTGAAAAGGATTCTAGATAAGCTCATTAAAAAAACAATGCATACAATTGGAAAAGAAGAAGAAAGAAAAACGAACATTGCAGATGTTTGCAGCTTGTTTTCGAATTCTCTAAAAGGTGCCACCGTACACGTTGTAATACACATCTGAAACAGTTTTACAGATTCGGATGGAAAGCAAAACAAACTCTGCAACTGCATGCATCTAGAACCACTGTAGTAGATGCTGACAATTATCCTGACCATTGTCTTAACCGTGGCAGAGACAGGGGCAGAGGATTTAAATAGGAACACGAACACAGCGCACATGCGCCGTTCTCGCGCAAACGGCAGCGCAGATCTACGACTCACCGCAAGTGGAAGGGACGGGTATCCATATGAGCGGCATTGTCACTCGAACCTACCCGGTTCAGGACTGATACGATGGTGAATAGGTGGGATATATGATAACATGGCCGGGAGGTAAATGTTCGCCGTCATGTGTTTCTGACTCTCTGTTAGACAACGAGTCTTCTTGGAGTAGGGGTAACATGGAAGCGATGTAGTAGTGAAGGTGCCTGTGACGAGCGTATATGTACTGACTGCTGCCGTCTTATTCGGATATCGCGAGGAAGACAGAGGACGACAGCTATCATTACTTATAATACAACCTTGCAGATTCCCACTCCCCCATCTCCGTACAGTCAGTCCACCAAAGGGTCCCGGCACTCACACACCCTCGGTCCATCTCCTCACTTCTCCACGATGCAACTCCGAAGCATGCTCCCAGCACTCCTCCTCCTGTCATCCCCGGCATCCTCCCAGATCGTCTCAATCCAGGGCTCGGACACCCCTCCCGTAATAGACGGGAACTCTGTCGAAGGCGACAGGAACTATGAAGCACCCTACTTCCCACTTGTGGGGTTCAAGAACTTCTCTGGCAATCCTATCATGAAGCCGAACCCTGCCAACGGATGGGAATCGAGATATCTCTACAACCCCAGTGCCATTGTCGTCGATGACAGGATATTCCTCATCTACCGAGCCCAGAATGACAGCCTGACGTCGTCAATCGGACTTGCCTGGTCATCAGACGGAACCAGCTTCACCCGGTACAGCAACCCTATCCTCACACCCTCAGAGTCGTACGAGACGCCGGGCGGGTGCGAGGACCCCCGTGTGATCCGGGTCGACGGCACGTTTTACATGACGTACACGGGCTACGACGGTGAAAAGGCACGGCTATGTATCGCCACGTCAACGGACCTCGTGCACTGGGAGAAGCATGGGCCCGTCCTTCCCGACATCAATGACGTGTGGTACGACCACAGCAGTCCGATCAACTCCTTCCTCCCGCGAACGGGGTGGAGCAAGTCCGGGTGCATCATGGCCGAGAAGCAAGCCGACGGACTGTACCACATGCTCTTTGGCGACTCTTACCTCTATTCCGCCAAGTCACCCGATCTGCTCCACTGGAACTACACAGTCGACGGTGCTCCCTATGCGCCCTCTATCCTCCCCTGGGAGAAGGGCCTGATGGAGTGCGGCCCGCCCGCCATCATGACGCGCGACGGGAAGTGGATCCAGATCTATAACGGCGTCGCCGTGGGCCTGGGTGGGTACAAGACCAAGCAGTACAGTACGGGAGAGCTACTCCTCGATCCTGTGAGCAAGCCTGACGGGCCGCCCATCGCGAGGGTTGAGGAGCCGCTTCTGCAGCCGGGGAGTAGTGATGAGCTCACTGGCCAGGTTGACGATGTCGTCTTCACGGAGGGACTGGTTCAGTATCATGGAGAGTGGTTCATGTACTTTGGACAGAGCGATACGACCTTGGGTGTTGCCATTGCGCCGAAGCAGTGATGGTGTGCGTGGGAAACGTCGACTTCTCTTTCATACAGCACAGCACGCACACACGCATTGGAGGCGAGGTGGAATTTACATCTCGTATGCTTTCAAGTCTCCTGGTGACGATCCGCGACTCGTCCATATCGTTGTGGCGGGCGCGGAGTGGGTTTGCGTGCTGTCGCCGTGGGCTGAGAGCTTTATGGTCACGCAGATATCCGCTCTGGCGTGTGGAAGGCTACCTCCATCTCAGTTCCCGAAAGACCCCACAGGTGGCAGACAGACAGCCTCGCAGGGATGTTGGCGCGATGTACGACCTGGCTGATTCCGAACTCAATAAGCTGGAAGGGCTATTGGATCATCGGGAGCAGTATGCCAAGTAGTGTGGCGTTGCTCCTATTCATCTGGAGCAAGACGTGTATCTTGAAACCATGGCTGGGCAGACTGAACCCAGAAGCAAAGGTGTCTCTGATGCTTCTATAGTAAGGGATCGACACCATCGTTACAGGAAAAAAAATATCCATATTGGTTCTATGAATATTACTGGACAATATTCAGTCTCCAAGCCATTTCTTGTACATGAGATCATAAAGCCTCAAGTCCTGCAGAGCATCCTCGAGGTTGGTCTTGATGGCTTTCCCGGTTGTCAGAGTATCGTGAAGCGCTTGAAGTTCGGATGTGTATGCGTCCTGGTAGGAGGATAGCATGGTACGTCGTTGAATCTCTCCCTGGTCGTTGAGCTCCTCCACGTCAACGGTAATCGGCAGCCCCTTCACGTACGGACTGTCATACTGCCATGGTATTTCTGGTTAGAGACAGCGAGAAGTATCGTGAGATGAGACAGAGACACTTACGCGAATCGTCACACGCTTCTCGGCACCGTATACACTCAGGTGGGCGTCAAAGACTGGCACTTGGTCAATTCCGCTCTCGTAGGTGACGGAAAACGGAGTGCCATCTGGGTTACGGAAGGACAGAATGGCCGAGTAGAAGGGGTCGTTGACGGATACACCGTCGACCTTGTCCGGAAAGCCTAGGGTCTCTCGCATGAGTGACATGTCATGGGAAGCCAGGCTACCCAGGAAGCGACAGTACTTCCTCATCTCGTCGGTGATTTCTCGTCCGGGAAAGGCCTCCTTGAAGAGCTCCTCCAGCCTGGAACTTCTCTCTTCGCTCGAACCGGCCGGGTAGTCGGCATTTCTGGTCTGGAACGTCCCGCTCTGGTTCACAAATTGGGCGTTGGGGCCGCTAAAGTCCCGTACGCGGGCGTATAAGATCTTGGGTATGCTAGCGACCTCGCGCTTGAAGGCCTCGAGGTAGCTGGGTGCGTAGCGACGCATGTATCCGACGAAGGCACGCGCTCCGTTGGGTGCACCATCCTCCGCTGCGATTATGGACTCGGCCGACGGGAGGGAGAGCGATACGGGCTTCTCGATGAAGACATGCTTGCCGGCCTTGAGCGCAGCCACGGCGAGCGGCGTGTGGCTCTCGTCCGATGTCAAGACGAAGACGACTTGGACTCTTGCGTTGTCTATGACCTCTTGAGGCGTCGTCGTCCTGTGAGGGAAGAAGAATTTGTCGGCGACGTAATCGGTCGTGGTCGGGGACAGGTCACAAACGGATTCGAGCTTGAAGAGGTGGGCGAGCATCAGAAGACAAGGGCCGTGGCACACTTGGAACACTTCCTGCAGCATCGGTATCGGGGGACGGTCAGAAGGCTCGCAGAAAGAAGGGAGCCGAAAGAACTCACTCCGGCGCCGATGATGCCCACGCCAAGGCGCTCCTGAGCGGCGAGCGACATGGTGACCGGTTGAGCTTGGTCGTTGCCGGAATTTCCAGATAGCTTGGACCGTACAGGAAAGATGCCAGTTCCTTTCTTGGCTAAACGTGCAGTACAGATCCTTTTTTTTTTTGGGGGGGGGGGGGGGGGGTGAAACGATGCTGTCCAAGGCACCGACGCCGGTAAGTTTGGCTACCCCGTCTCCTGTTGTTCGTCTTCAATGTGAATGGAGTTGGAGCTCTCGTGAGCACATGAGGGGAAGAGCTATTCCGACCCCGCTCTCCATGTCGAAGACCGATGCGGTCATAGTGGGTCTCAAGGCAAGAGTGCCATATTCTCGTTCATGACGAGTCCTAGACGCACGATTCATAGAGGTAATATTACCTAAGATTTGGTTCACTCTACATACGAGCTTTGTGTACAGATTACATGCTGGGATGCGCGGATGATGATTACGTAATGGGGGCGTTCGGTCGGGGTGGATGATCGACGCAATTGGGGCAGCGGGATAGAGGAGGGAATGCGGAGCAGTACAGATTAGACCGTTAAACATCAGCATCTCAATACATAGCAATCCCGTTTCTTCTTCCCTCCTCAGCGCCGAACTGTTCCATCTCCACACAATGTCCACGACCGACGACCTTTTAGAAAGGATCAAGCAGCTTGAGGAGGAAAATACGCAGGAGCGACGCGAAAGGGAGCGGGCACAACGCAACGCGGAGCAGGAGCGACACGAAAAGGAGCAGGCACAGCATCTCCTTCAGAAGACGACACTCGAGGAATATCTCACGGCCTGCCAGGAGCATGTCCTATCCAAGATCCACCTTGACACCGATGGCTACCTTACCACTAGGGCTCCCACTACCAATCCTGCTAGAAAGCACTGCCCGACTCTTCTCATGCCTTGGGACGATTTTATTCCAACGCAAACCCATATGATCCAGCTGGTCGACCGAACTTTTCCTACTAATGAGAGACTCTTCGAGAGTGTGGCCGGTCTCCAGACTATCGGAGATCGCCTCGATGAGCGGGTAGTACGAGATGAAGCTTCTCTCGTCTTTATCGAGAATAACGCCATCGAAGACCCCGTGCGCGTTATTCTATCAAAAATCAACGCTTTTCATCCTGAGAGGTACAACCTCGCCACCCCTGACCAGGTGGAGTTTCAGACCACTGCCAGTAGCCTCCGTGAATCGACAGATCCCAGGGATACTGTACAGCGAGACGCAAGGCTACGGACGGACCAGATTTGCGTATTTCGAAACTCAGCTCGCCAGAAGGACATTGCATATGTCATCGAGTACAAGGCACCTCGCAAACTCCATACCCAACATTTTGAGCAGGGCCTCCGGCAGATGAATATATTCAAGGTTGTCCATAAGCAGACAATACCGACTACTGAACCTGACAAGTTCAAACACTACGCAGAACGTCTCACGGCAGCCGCCGTCACACAGACATACCACTACATGGTAGAGGCCGGGCTGGAATATGGCTACCTGACTAACGGCGACGCCATCGTCTTTCTCAAGATCGACTGGGCTGACCCAACAGTGCTTCGCTACCATCTAGCACGACCGTCACGCGAGGTCTTAGTAGACGAAGACGCTGCCTATAGCAATGCAGTCTGTCAAGTCCTTGCGTTTACTATGCTTGCGCTCCAATCGAGACAGCATGGCAATGATGAGCGGCTGGATGCAACGAATACATGCAATAAATGGATGGTTGACTTCGACCATACCTTGGACAAGATCATCGAGGAAGAGGAGGAGAGGAATGGAGCAGCAGGCGGTCCCACAACGCCTACAGAGAAGAAGCATCGCCGTACGCCTAGCCTGGATTGGGAACCGACGCCGGTCAAGAGGACGAAGCGACATCCACGTCAGCAGTCTCCATACCAGCCATCCCCTCCGGAGAAGTCAGACCGAGTGCTTCGGTCACACGACCGTGGTGGTCCTGGAGGAGGAGCAGGCTCTAGTGGGGGGGCGTCTGGCGGCGGGATTCCTGGCAGTGGTGCTGCTGGCTCAGGCCACGCAGATGGCGGTTCCCGGGGACATGCCACGACTGGCTCATCACCAGCAGCAACCAGGGGCGGCGATGTCGGACAGCAGAGGCAGAGGCGATACTGTACGTCGGCATGCCTCCTATCACTCGTCAACGGAGGGCTCATGGATAGTAATTGCCCCAACGCGCCGCTACACCGTAAACGAACGCTTGCTACGCTCCACACTCTGGATAAGGGCCAGGCTGAGAAGCATAGACATGGCCTTTCGTATCCACAGTTCATGCTCCGATTACAAGAACAGCTCTCCCAAAGTCTAGAGAGGGGCGTCGTCATCTTCGGTAAAGAAGGCGCCTGCGGCGCCTTATTCCAGATCACGCTGCTACAGTTTGGCTACACCTTCATCGCGAAGGGTGTGACTAGAGGACGCGTACCGGACTTGGAGAAGGAAGTGGCCGTCTATGAGAAGCTACGGCCTCTACAGGGCCACGGCATCCCGGTATGCCTCGGCTCCGTCGACCTTGAACCGCTAGGCCAGGTCTTCTTCTACGATGTCGACGTGCACATCATACGCTTCCTCCTCTTGTCCTATAGCGGCACCGAGGTTAGAGCAAGCGGGGACGAGTCCAGGACACGCATCATCAGCACAACCGCGTCCATCATAGATAAGATGCACCACCTCAGGGTCATCCACGGCGACGTTCGACGGCCAAACGTGCTGCAAGGCCCCGACGGGGAGATCAGCCTCATCGACTTTGACCGCGCCGTGATCCTGCCAGCCAGAAGCCGAGGAACCACCCTCAGCGCGATCTCGCCTAACAAGCGGAGGCGCCTTGTGGGCTCTGACGGGGAAGAAGAGGCTTCCTCGCTGACGACGAGGAAAAGCCGGCTGTCCCAGCCCGCGATTGAGCGCGCAATCCAGCAGGATAATAGCAATGTGCAAAGTCTCTTCTCCCTCGACTGCGGTAGAATCATAGTATAGGATGGGGTATAATGACGGCGGCGTGTAGGCAACGAACAGCCTTGGGTTCCTATTCACAGCAGTAGGGAAAATGAATAGGGCCGGATGAGATAATCATGTAGAGTCATGTCGTAGGTCTGCACTAAACGAGGTGAGAGAAGATCAGTTTCCTGTATATTCATCTGAAAGTAAGGAGCGGAACTACGTAGGGAACGAACGATATCGTCTGATGATTTACCCAAAAAAAAAAAAAAGGTCGGGTAATATGCACAATCGGATGCACGTACGTATGTACACGCAAGTACGGCACACCAGAGACCAAGACAAGCCACTGACCGCTGTTGAGGTAATTCTACTCGTGGCATCACCTGGAAATGTACATGATCGATGCAGTTGAGCACTTTTGTCTCACTTCATCAACCGCCAGCGCCATGAAGCTCTCCGACGGTCTCATCGGCGCCTGCGCTCCCGTCGCAGTCTCCGGCCTGAACATGACCCTCTACCGCAATGAGCCGTTAGCACCGTACCCTCTCCCCCCGTCGCATGCCGACTCGGACGGCAGCGAGATTGTGGAGCTGTTCCAGAACCTCGGCCGCTCTACCGTCTGGAAGAGCGTTGCCAACGTCACGTTCGAGGGCGACACGTACGAGCCCGAGGGCATGGTGCGTCTAGGAGACGACCGCTACGTCGTCAGCTGCGGCGAGTACACGGAGGCGACGAGGAAGTACCCGGAGGGCGTGGTCGACGGCACGGACCGCACCGCCGGCCAAGGGTTCGGTCACCTCGTCGTCTTCGACGGGGAGGGCCGGCGCATCGCCGACGCCACCCTGACGGCTCCAGGGAGTAGCGAGTATCACAACGGCGGCATCGATTTCGACGGCACGTCGATCTGGGGAACCCTGGCCCAGTACCGCCCCAACACGACGGGTTACGTCTACCACGCCGACCCGCTCACCCTGGAGCCCACGCGCGTCCTCGACTACGACGATCACCTCGGCGGCATCGTCCACGACACGCACGCCAATTCCATCACGTGCCTCAATTGGGGTGCGCGCAATGCCTCCTCGTGGGACCTCGACCGCGTGCCGGCCAGCCACGGTGGCGGCCGGCCAAGGTCGGTCGTCCGGAACCCGTCGTACTTTATCGATTACCAGGACTGCAAGTGGATGGGACACATACGGCGGTATGGCGGGCGCAGCGTCATGATGTGCTCCGGGGTTGCCACCATCGACAGCTACTCGCTCGGCGGAATTGCCCTCGTTGACGTTGATACGATGCAGCCCCTCGTCGAAGTGCCTATTACCCTGGAGAGTGAGCTCGGCGTCCGTCTCACGATGAACCCCGTCGATGTGAGTGTCGAGGACGGTAAGCTGCGGCTCTACTGGCTTCCTGATCAGCACAACAGCACTCTGTACATATATGAGGCCCAGCCCGATAGTCCGTTTGAGTTTGGGGGTGGCGAGCTGTGAGGGCAAGGTGGTAGTAGACCTTGCCCGTGCATCATCAGATTACAATCTAGGTCATCTCCGTCTATATATCCCCGTAATCTATTCGCATGTGTGTCTACAGAATCAGAAGATACAAGCCATCGAGGCCCTCCTATTTCAGTCCGCCACTGATCACGAGCTCTTGGCCGGTAATGTATCCCGTTTTGGCGAACCTTGTCTGCTCATCAGAAGACTTGAAATGATGCCACGCGGGGGACGGGTATACACTCACATGTTGACGGCATTGCCAACCTCTGCTGGGTTACCGGGACGGCGGACAGGCACCATGGTCGCGATGGCTAGGCCTGGGTCCTCGGCCCTCAGCCTCTCCATGTCGCATCCCTCCTCCCAGCTCCTAGGAGTCACGGGTGAGTAAAGGAGCCCCGACGGGAACCGACACGGGAACCGACACGGAATCATGAATTGCACTTACGACCCCTTTGGTGTTGGAACCATTCCTGATGGTACCATCATACCAGGCTGGATCTGTAAACACGTAGCAGACAAGGTTAGCTCCAGCGACAATACCAGACGAGTAGCGAAACGTAATACCACATTGACCGTGATTCCCTCGGGCGCCAAAAGCGTGGCCAAGTTCATCCCCATGGACCTGCAAGGAACGTCAGCACCGACTTACCCCCCCCCCCCCCCCCCCCCCCCCCCCCTTCGCATCGGCATCACTCACGAGAGGGCTCCCTTGGAGGCAGCGTAGTGACAGCCGTTGATGCCTCCGCCGCGACTGGCAATGCTCCCGATCAAGATGATGCGCCCCCATGACTGAGCCCTCATACCCTCGATGCACGCCTTGGAGACGACAAACTGACTCCGGCTGTTGACCTCCATCATCTCATCCCAGTCGTCCTCTCCGATCTCACCAACATCCCTGATGCGTCGGCCATTTGCGGCATTGGCGACCAAGATGGAGATGGCCTTGTGCTTGGATGAGATCTCCGGCTGGCCTAGAACGTTGGGGACCAAGCCACGTGCGGACCCGCGATCGGCCAGATTGGCTGCAACCGTGGCAAAGACCTGGTCGGGATATTGGGTCCTCAGGTCGCTTGCCACAACCTCGGCTCTCTCCTGAAGTCGAGCATCACACACCGTCAGCGTCAGCACCGAGTTTGAACGCACGCTTTCGGTGGCAGGGGAATGAGGAATGGCGGCCGACCTTGCTGGTTGAGTAGTGGATAACAACATCACAACCCTCGGAGGCCAAGGCTCGGGCGCAACCCTCGCCGATGCCGCCGCTGAAGAGTTTACGGGAAAAGTTTCAGCAGGTCAGTTATCATGCCATCCAAGCCAATCACTCTATTCTTTCCAGAAGGGGCCCGGGCCATTCCGCATACCTTGCACCGGTCACCAGGGCTAGGCGGCCACGCACACGGTTGTCAAGAGTCTGGAGGTGGTGTCGAACGGGCATCTTAACGTCAATGTTATAAGTCACTTTTCAAAGGCAGGGAGGGACGAATGGTATCTGCTAGATGTAGGACCAACCAACAGACAGGCACAGACCGGGAATAGTACCACTGGGAAGAGAAGTAGGCTCGTGGAAGAGGAGAAAGGGAACCCCGAAGAAGACAGATGCCAAATTGCGATTGTTCTCTTCCCCGCAGCGGAACAGAGCTCCCCGACTGTCGTCAGCCTTAGTGTGTCTACATCCACCCCCAGAGTGTGCCGTTATCGTAGTGTATACTTCATCGTCGTCCAGCTTTTGTCAAAACATTGATGAAGAGAAGAGGTCCCGGTGGCGGGCAGATCGAGTGCGCAACACACCATGGCCAATCGAATTTTCTCCCATCCAGATTCCGAGTTGTGCATGCATACAATGAGCGGCAAAAGGTGACGGACAATAGCAAGGTACACTGTCATGTCTATTGATGCGTGAGGTCCATAAAGACGTCTAGTTGTTCTATATTCATTAGAGACATGGGTTTCGCAACCGACAGGCTGACTGACACCTGGTCTAGGACGACAGCTTCACAGTTCGCCCCACCCTTTTTATCCGTCTTCTTTCTCCTTTACTAGTGTCATCATGGGCAACTGCATTTTCTTCTGCCAACCGCAACCATGTCATGAACGACAGCAAGTCAGTCGTGAGGTACGATCTTGACCAGCTCCTCCGCACCCTCTCCAGGAAGGGCAAGCATGCATCAAGACACGTGTCGGGAGTTCTGGGCGTTCATGCCCATATCCGCCTCGAAGCCTAGCGAGAGGTTAGACCCTGAGCTGTTCTCACGTTGCCTAAACGCCCTTGTTGAGTCTCTCCCAGAGCTGATTCCGTCTTCGTCATTGTGACGCTCTGGCATGGTACACCATCGCGAGCGCACTGGCCTGCAATGACTCTCATGATTTCCTGGCTCGGAGAGAACCAGTGGTAGACCGTTGCTGAGTTGGCCGATACGTTCTACGACGATGAGTACAGTTAGGACGCCCTTACAGCTCACGTCCTTACACAGAGCACCCGATCACCTAGTTGCTGTAGCTGTGCGGCACATCCGGGTGACCTGCTCCATCACGAAGCTTACATCTCTGTCCATGCTGACACCAGCTCGCGATTGTACCCGATCATCGTCGTGGATGGCGTTCTAGACTGTGGGGAGGGGATATTACGCAGCCTATGATCTTTCTACGGAACAGGCCGCCACTGCCGGTACGGAGTACGTGTGGTAATACTCTATTAGTAGATACATTGCGTCTGTTCAATTCCCGAGGTCTATCGAGCTGGGCATCATGTGCCGGTAGTCGACAGCCACGTATAGTTGCATCCTAGACAGGGCAGTGTAGTTGCCTCCTCCGTATACATCAGCTACCGGTTCCCAGAAACCGCGCGTAGTTATGTTGCAGAGATACAGATGCAAAGGCTCCTGATGAGAGGTGTCTGAGTCGTATACTCGTCATCATAAGCTGTCTCCACTGATGAGGTTTCAATCCAGATATGAAAGCGAGATCCGAAACTCTCTCTGCAACGCAAAATGTATAAACTCCAAGAATTCATGACTATGTATTCTCCAAGTGAGAAGTCGCATCCGTCTTCTTTTCGTCATCTAGACCCTCTTCCCTAGCCCGAATCTTGCCTTCCACCAGAGCATCATCTCCATCAAAGATACGGGCGATCTCTTCCAAGCTATGTCCCTTAGTCTCGGGGAACAGGAAATAGGTGACAAGAAACATGGCAAGGAGGAGGACGCAAAATACAATGTAATATCGCCATCCGATGTTGTCGATGCCGATGGGATTAGTAAATGCCGAGATGACGAGGGAACCGTACATGACGAACATCTCGAGAGCAAGTCCCTTGGAGCGCAGGGCATAGGGGAAGATTTCGGTCGGGTATCCAAACAGCAAAGGTGTCCAGGCAATGTCGTAGTGAAAGTAATAAGTGAAGAGGCAGACGACAACGACAATCCCGGCTGAGGTACTTCCCGTCTGCGTATTGACGGCCGAGCAGGCGGTCCAGACGACGTAGGAAATTAGCATGCCGATTCCAGACCAAAGGAACAGAGTCCGTCTCCCGACTCTGTCCACGAGGAATGCTGCACTCAGGGCAGCACCGAAGTTGAATATCTGCAAGAGGCCGTTGATGAGAGTCTGGGTGAACGTATCCGTGATGCCGATACTGTCCAGAACAAGTGTGAGATAGTAGGAGACGACAGCGATACCATTCCACTGTGCAAAGAGTCCCGTGCAGACGGCAATCAGCGTCCTCTTTCGGTTTCCTGATGTGTTGACAAGGGCTGACCACCCCATATTCGCGGCTTCCTTTTCACTTTGGATCATCTGGACAATCTCGGCCAGCTCCCTGCTGACGAGAGGGCTATCCGGTGTGGTCGGATCGTGATATCTGCATAAGACCTCGGCAGCCTCAGCCGTTCGATCCTGAGCGATGAGCCAACGGGGTGACTCCGGAAGGTACCATATCGAAGCAAGCTGGACGAGAGGAAACCCGGCTTGGAGAGCGGAGGGCAGTCTCCAGGAGATGGAGCCGGAGTGAGCCTGAGTTCCAAACGTGGTCCAGGAAGCCAAGATGGCGCCGAGATAGTACATAGTCCAGTAAGCCGAAGTGTACTTTCCTCGGTGCGTCGGGTAGGACAGTTCGGCAATGAGAATCGGACTGGGCTGGACGACGAACATGCCCCCCAGACCGACAATGATACGGGCAACGATGAACATTGCATAGTTGACCGAGGCAGCCTGTATGGCCGCACCGACGCAAACGATGAGGATGCCGGAGACGAGGACGGGCTTTCGGCCGAGCTTGTCAGAGATGATCCCTACAATGGGCAAACCCAGAACGCCACCGATGGACTGAGAAGCGTTGACCAAGCCAAGGAGTGTTCCTGCGGGATGATTAAAATACTCTTTCCACTGCGGAAGAGTCTGCAGGCCGTTCATGAGGGATCCTGCACATTGCGCGAGAAGTCAGCGAATATGTAACGAGAGCAGCCATGGCCGTCTGTCGTCTGGTGAGAATGGTGACGGTCTACCATCGTATCCGGACACGGAGCTAGACAGTAGGGGAATGAGGAGCAAGGCGTTGAGGCGTAGTAGATGCGATTGCTGAAACCAGTAGTTTCGTGTCCGTGGAAGGACCTCTGCCAAGGCCTTCCCAACTATCTTGGCGTCATGTTCGGCTTGAGAAGACATGGTTTTGCGGCCACCAAAGAGCGTAAACAGGATCGAAATCAAAGGGGGAACCCGAGTTCGCGGGTCTGGGGGAAGTCCAACACTGACCTCGGAGACGGCATAGAGAGTATTTATGACAGCATGATTTACAGTAACGGAGCGGGACAGATGGCCCTTGGGAGACGCACTTCCCCTTCTCCGCTATGCGATGACTGGCTGTGGGAAGGGTCTGGAGAATCCGGGGTCAGAGCTGGGGTTGTCGTGCTGTGGAGACGACGAGTATCGTATCGTGCGGTCGGTACGGGCGCCTGTAGGCCGGTTTGTAGCTCCGATTGACAGTACGCCGTCGGATTGGCGATGCTTCTCTTCCGGAAAGAATGCGGAAGCATTACCTAGCATATGAAGTACCGTAGACAGTCTCTCTACGGGTGGACACAAAGCTCCGCCGGCGCAACAGCCCGGTTGAAGCAGGGAAACAGGATACATCATACACTTGACCGAACTTCTTGATCTTGGCATTCAGGTGTGAGTTACCCGGATTCTTCTATCAGTCAGATCCGCTTACCATCGACGCCATCATCCAAGAGCCAATGCATCACACCCGTGCTGAGAGCCTCTTCTACCATGATTTCCAGTTCTCTCCGATGTCGAAAGAAGACCTGTCATGCCGGACTACGAGGGTGCCCAGAGCCATTCTCATATGGCATTCATCAACGGAACCCCGCGCTGGAGACTTTCTCGTTCGGGAAATGGGACTGGCTGATCGGGGTACCATCTTGAGGATACGAAAGACATCGGCATCGACAATGACCATCTGGTCCTTTCACCATGCGGTCGCATTAGGGAACGCCTGGCGGCCTCACGCTACCGTTTGCCATGTTGACAAATCCTGATGCGATGTCAAGAACCGCAAGTGGCGTCGAGCGAGCCTGCTTAGCAGCGGCCGCATTTCCAGGACTCTTCTTGGAGGTGATTTGCACGAGTCCGGAAGACGTATCCCGAAATGTTACGTATCACCAAGGCTGCCGAACTTCTACATGCATGTCCGTGTGGCCTAGATAAGTCGATGCCGGGCTACGGTCATCCGCGAGCCGTACGTGGCGCGGGGAAGCCTCGCGGGTCATAGGCTGGCACATCAAGACGGGTATGTATGATTGCATGGGATGCTGTTACAATTCGACTGCACCCCTCATCAAGTCTTTCCTCTCCCTCGCTATCTCCCTTCATGACAAGTACTGAACCAACATCAACATCAACATCATGACAGAAGCGGTAAGCTTATCCAGGAATGATTGATGTCAGCAAGGTCAAAAGACTGACTAGTCATCTTCCACCAGAATCCAGCCTTTGTATTACGGGAGCTGAAAAAGGTCACCTTTGAGGACCGACAAGTCCCCAAACTCGACGACCCTCACGACGTCCGGGTCCACATTGAACAGACGGGCATCTGTGGCAGCGACGTACACTACTGGCAACGCGGTCGCATCGGCGACTTTGTTCTCACGAGTCCCATCGTTCTAGGTCACGAGAGTGCCGGCGTCGTCGTCGAGACCGGGTCCAAAGTCGAGAATGTCCGAGTAGGCGACCGAGTGGCGATAGAGCCTGGCGTTCCCTGTCGACGATGCGACTTTTGCCGATCTGGCTCCTACAACCTATGCGAGGACACCGTCTTTGCAGCCACACCTCCCCATGACGGTACTCTGCAGAAGTACTACACGGTGGCCTCGGACTACGTGTATCCCATTCCGGACCACATGTCTTCCGAGGATGGAGCTCTGGTGGAGCCTGTATCTGTTGCTGTGCAGATCGTCAAGGTATCGGACCTCCGCGCAGGCCAGACGGTCCTCGTTTTCGGCTGTGGACCTATCGGGGTGCTCTGTCAAGCTGTCGCCAAGGCTTCAGGCGCGGCCAAGGTCATCGGCGTGGATATTTCCGAGGCGAGGGCGCAGTTTGCCCGCGATTTCACAGCCGACGGTGTTTTTCTGAACAATGCCGAGCCGACGGCCGGTGCTGACCCCGTCGATGCAGCCAGAGAGGTGGCCGAGAAGATTGTGGCAGACTACGGCTTAGGTCTCGGTGCCGATGTCGTCCTCGAGTGCACCGGTGCCGAGCCTTGCATACAGGCCGGGGTGTTTGCGGCAAAGAAGGGCGGCACCTACGTCCAGGCTGGCATGGGAAAGGAAAATGTAGTCTTCCCAATTACAGCGGCCTGTATCCGGGCCCTGACGATCAAGGGGTCCATTCGGTATTCCGCTGGATGTTATCCCGAAGCTGTGAGGCTGATCTCGGCCGGAAAGATTCAGCCCAGCAAGCTCATCACCCACAGGTTCGCCTTTACCCAGGCTGAGGAGGCTTTTGAAATAGTCAAGCAGGCGGCTGAGAATACATTGAAGGTGATAATAAAGGGTGTACCTAGATAGATAAGACGAGGTAGAACAGTGGTGGTAAGACGACAGTCAATATATCATCTCAATATGCCGGGATATTAGGCAACCAGCCTGCTTGGTAGGAGTGGTGAGACCCCGCGATGACTAGAGGGTGACGATCGAATGCTAGATTGTAAGCTCGAGCTTAGATCAAGTCTCCATCCATCTTAGACGACGAACTCGGTCTCCATAGACAATGGACGCGGCGAATATCTACAAGTACACGTCTGTGCATCATCATACGTTCCTCAGCCATTCGACCTCTTGTTCTTGCTGACGGTTGCATATGCTACATCCGCAGGTAACGGCAAACAGTATTAACCCGTCTCTTCCCTGCGGCCGGGCAACAGAATGCCGTTGCAGCCAGCTTGCCCTTCACGGCATTGGGTCCCCGGTAGGTATCATAGCTAGAATCTGAACAGCACCTGGGTTCGGTGGCCGGCTCACTTCCAGGATGTGGTGTACGAATTGTAAATAGGAGCCTGTGTCTCGTGCTTCTCGATGTTCCCAAGACATCTAGTAATATTCAGCACATTGAACTCGCTCACACGACTACCGCCATCATGGTTCTCGCAGCACATCCCGATCCCGCAACACCTGTGTTATCGCACTTTTCACTTGAGGGAAAATCTGCGTTCGTGACGGGTGCATCGCGAGGAATTGGCCTGGCCGTGGCCCGTGGCCTTTTGGAAGCCGGGGCATCGGTCGCCATCACCTACTCCACGACCCCAGACTCCGAGGTCTCAGACCTCGTCTCCTCCCTGTCATCCGACAACCCCGGACGCGTGGTCAGGGCCTACCAGTGCAACGTGACGGACCGTGCCGCTGTGAATGATGCGGTTCGCAAGGCCGCCGCCGACATTGGCGGTGGCAGTCTAGATATCGTCGTTGCCAATGCCGGAATCGGCGACCATGTGGCTGCTGAGGATTACCCCGAGGATCGGTTCCTCAATATGCTCGACGTCAACTTCAATGGCGCATTCTGGACCGCACAGGCGGCTGCCAACATCATGAAGGGGTCAAAGACGAGGGGCAGCATCATCTTCACAGCCAGCGTCAGCGCTATCCTCGTGAATGTTCCCCAGAAGCAATCTGCCTATAACGCGAGTAAGGCGGCTGTCGTCCACCTCGCCAAGAGTCTGGCCGTGGAGTGGGCAGACTTTGCCAGGGTCAATTGCGTGTCTCCTGTATGTGTGCAGACGACCCCTCACCCTAAAAGTATCTCGGTATAGCTGACGCCTCTACATAGGGATACATCGCTACCGACATGTTGGATGTCCATCCGAAGGAGTGGAAGGACAAGTGGTTCTCCATGATTCCTGGACAGAGGCTTTGCGAGCCCGAGGAACTCAAGGGCTCCTACGTCTTTTTGGCCAGCGATGCCAGCAGTTACATGATGGGTAAGGAAATCCCTCGCCGTGATCGTTCCACCAGCTGATCTCATCTCCCAGGCGCGAATTTAGTAATTGACGGCGGGTACAGTCTGCCCTAGGGTTGTAGAAAGTGTTATATAGTTGAGAGAGGGACGGTCAAGGTAGGAATATGGCACAGGTTTAACAAAGCAGAATCCCTGTGTAAACACCGGACTACGGGGATACATTGCAATATCGTTCCCAGTAATATTATGATCAGAGGCTGGCCGTGTTCATGATCCAATAAACTGAACGCCTGCACCGACGGGGCAACGTGGCCGGCCTGATGCACAGATAAGTCTCCTCAGTGAAAGATGCCCCTCCCTCCAGAATCGGAACTGGTTTTCCTCTCCGGATCCTTCTTCCGGAGCCGACTCAGATAAGGATGAGAGCCTTCCATTCCGTGGTTAAGTCTGTGCGAATGCATCGGTTACTCCTTGAGCCCTTAGGGAACCATCAGCACACAATCATGTCCGTCCCCGGTCTGTGGCAATACGAGGCGGGGTTGGATCCGCGATGGAGGTTTAGAAGCCCATCGCGGGTTCTTACGTAGTCCATACGGGAGGGTAATGTCCGCATCTACTCGTACATATAGTCACAATGATACCTTGCCCCTTTGAATCTCGATCGCGGCCCACAGTGGTCCGTCCTCCTCCTACAACTTCATGCCCGAATTCTGGATATCAACAGACCACGGAAACTTGATCGCGTGTACGGCGTGATTGTACCCGAAGCCGGCCCTTGTCTCTATTGCTTGGAAGGCATCACGGACGGATCAGATCCCTTACGACGACTCTTACTACAAGGGCCCTGTGTCATCGGTTCCCATCCTGGGCCCCTGAACAATGCCTCCGGTTCGAAATAGGCCTCTAGATCAGGCCTGTGGAGAATGTCGGCGTCGTAAAGCCCGGTGCAACAAGTCGCAGCCACGCTGCGACTTGTGTCAGAGGCATGGAAGGAGCTGCCTATACGAGAAGCCGATACGGACACCTCTCACTCGCAAGTATGTTCCACCATCCATCCGAAGCATATACTGGACTCACGGCACTAAGATGGACGCGTAGGCATCTCACGGAGGTAGAAACCCGTCTAGAAAAGGCAGATGCCCTTATCCAGCAGATGCGCAGCTTGATGCCGGCTTATTCACGACCCCAATCAGAAGGACCCCAACTGGGTGACGCGAGCTTATACAGAGACTCTCCCACATCCGACCACAACGATGGGACCGGAAGCCTACAGCAGGGAGTACGTCAGAGCGACGGATTCTCAGCCGGGAATCTTTCGTCAGGCTCAGCCGAGACAGGTTTCTCGATAAGTTTGCAACCACCACAATATGACCTGCCCCAACTACAGCAAGCTCACCTCCAACAAGGTGATAACGCTGCGACAAGTATCGCACGCAACGAGCCTACATCTGGCGGGGCAGGGGTGTCCCGAGAGGATGGGAACGACGGTCAGAGAATGATCGATGACCCTCCACTGAATGATTTTGAGTGGTGTGAGAGAGAGGTCGACCAGCATGTCCACGGCCTTTCTCCTGACGCGGCCCCCGTTCACGAAAGTCCGAGATCAGATGGCATGGCTTCACTGTCCGTCGCGGAGAGGGAGACAGGGTATCTCGGTGTCGCATCCGGTGCAGCTCTTCTCCGCCTGTTGGACCCAAGACAGGACACAAGCTCCCCCTCACCGAGGACATGGAGGACGCCAAAATTCGTAAGCGGTCGGAAGAAGACAAGTAGGCCTGTACTTTTGCAAAGCCCAAACCCTAACCGGCATATCAGCGAGGCCATGATAGATGCCTACTTCCGCTTATACCACGTCCACTACCCCATCATTCACGAGCCAACCTTCCGCGCGCAGTACAGCGAGGTCATACACCGCCCGCACGGATCGTGCTGGACAGTTCTGGCGTACATTGTCGCTGCTATCGGGGCGTGGTCATCCTCATCCTCGTCCGGTGAGAGCCTAGACCTTGCTCTGTTCTCGCACGCGCGCTCCATGCTCGACTTCAATTTCCTCGAGGTTGGGAATCTATCCCTAGTGCAGGCCCTGACCCTCGCATCCAATTACCAGCAGAAGAGGGACAAGCCGAACTCGGGATACAACTACCTTGGACTGGCTGTCCGGATGGCCATGGGCCTCGGGCTTCACAAGGAGTTCCAGGGATGGAGCATATCTCCGCTGACCATGGAGATCCGTCGTCGCGTGTGGTGGTCCCTCTGCGTATTCGACGTCGGCGCTACCATCACTTTCAGTCGCCCAGAGGTTTGGCCATACAAGGGAGTCGAGGTATCCTTACCTCTCAATGTCAATGACAAGGCGAGTTCCCCCATCGGTCTATCGTGCTCATCATCAGATGCAAGTTCAGTTCCTGGCATTCTACGTTGGAAGGAACCCAGACCTCTGACATTGAATCTGAATGCGGAACTAGGATCTCACTGCTGCCTCGCAATCGTATCCCCCAGAAAGCCACCACATGACGCCATATACAGCCGTCGCAACTCAGGCCAGATTCCACGTAGCCACACATGCATGCTATGAGAGGGTCATATCCAAGCCCCAGCCATCTTCGGACGCGCTGTTGACTCTCGATGCACAAGCTATCGAGCCGTGGATAGCAGATGTACCTTCGTACTTTGCCGAAGACGCCACGGTTCCGCATCGATATGCTCTCAGCCATGCCATCAAATCATGGAGATTAATGAATCTCCGTATAATAATGTACCGGCCATTCGTGATACGAAAGATGCTGAAACGGTCGTCATCGACGGAAGTGGGAGACATGACGGCGTTTCACAGATGCTTGGACGACGTAAGATCGACCATCAATCTCATCTCGGACTACTGGAGACATCACGAGCACAACTTTCTGACAGCCTGGTACTCACTGTGTGTAATGGACTTTGAGTGCCCAATGATGCACTATCCGTCGATACTGACGTCTACACTTATAGTTATTTTCTCTTCCAAGCCACTCTGATCCCTTGCATCTGCCTCCGAAACGCCCCGAACACCAGCGAGGTTGACGATTGGCGAGCCCAGATAGGCGCCGCATCAAACACCATCGCAGCCATGGCTGAGGTGAATTCTAGTGCGACTCGCTGTCATCGGATAATCCTCAACCTGTGTGGGAAGTACTTGGATGAGGCCGAGACCGGCATCCGATCCGGGCCTGAATACCCTTCCTCCTCCGGAGATGCAACCGACGTCACTAGACATGCTGCAGTTATAAGCCCGGAAGCTTTAGCAGACAGTCACCGCATGACGGGTTCGGAAGCGCCGCAGGCTTCACACAATCCTATGATTGGGTTGATGTGGCCGCATGTGCCGCCGCTGGATGCAGTCGATATGACCATGGGAGACGAGATGGGCTGGATGGATTTGCTAGCGGGCGGAGGAAATGACCTCTGAGTGACTGACTATGGGCGGCTTCGTCATAATATCGCACTCGGACACCACCTCCCCTTCCAGTCCATCAACCGTTTTGAGGCGGGAGGCCACAGCATGGAGACAGCAAGATCAAGGATCATCGGTCGGTAAGTAGCAACACGTGTAACACAGTCAACATCATAATATTCTAATTGCCCCTAGCAATAGTGTCTGTCTTCTGCCATCCATAGTCTTGTTGAGTCAACATTGGCGAAGTAGATGCCCCCAAAGCGTATACACACCAGAGGACGGTCGCCAAACACCGACCCGTCAAGCGAACGAGGTTGTCCGACGTGGTGGCAGACGTGCCGTCGGCCACTCCTGTCGTCTGAATGTAGAATCTGAGTCTCCATCACTCATGTCGGATGGTCGAGAAAACCTTTCGCGTGCATAACGCACTTTTCTTCTCCTTCTCCATGCATGCCAACGGGATACACTCCCAGGTGTGAAGCTGAGCACCCATCGAGCAACCTTCTCGAGCTCGCCCGTCATTAACAGGCCGAGGAAGATGACGAGTGCCGTGACCGGGATGGCAACGGCCCAGTATATCGACTGACTCCACTCCATATCACGAACGTCCTTTGTATTCATACCGAAGATGCTGGAAACCGCACTCAGGGGAAGGAATACGATTGTCACGATGGTAAAGGCATATATAGCCTGCTCCTGGCGGTCCTTTGTCGTGTCTATGCGGTGGCGGTTCTGGAAACTATCGTCAGTAGGGAATATATCAGGTACCGGCCAACGTTCAATAACGCATACCTCAATTTCTAGGTATGATGCTTGACCTTGCATCTGATCGAACTCGCGTTCCCGGCGGTCCAGATGCTGCAGGCATTCTTGCAGGAATACGGAACGGAAGCCCCCAGGGTCTGTCGCCCTGATCTTGAAATTGGCGTGTTCGTCGAGAGAAGATTCAAAGTCGTAGTCGGCCATCTGGGTGTATGGGTTGGTATTGCTTGCCGCCCCTTGTCTCCGATAGGGAGGTTCGGTCTCGTGACGAGGTGCATCTCCGGGGCCGTGGTGCACGATGTGCTCTCGCTCGGGGTATATTGTCCAGATACGAGGGCGACTATATGCGAACATGTCCGGGCGGCTCGCCATGGATACGTCCGTTTTGCGGGCTGCATATACAGGTGTTATTGACGAGATCCGATATGAGTCGAGGGTACGGAAGACGTTCTTCTGCAATGCAATGAAGGTTCTCAAGGTGGAAATCTCGTCTCGGAGCATGCCAGTCCGGTGTTCAAGCGATCTGTTAGGAGACTTGGTCGTCATCTCCGACTCCTAGCGTCGTGATTTAGCAAGTGTGGCCTAGTCTATGCCATGAAAAGGTGGATGCGGTGGCATCTCCAGTACGTACGAGTGAATTCAGGTAAACCGAGTATACCTTTGCGGTATCGGGGTACCCTTGGGTAGCATCCTGAAGTAGGCCCATGCTCATCAATGAGACGAGGTCGAGAGGCAGAATGGTCGACATGTCGATGAGTGGTCTTGTCTTCTTGGACAGGCGCTTAAGAATCTGAGATATAGAATCTTCCATGAGGCTTGTTGCTCCCCGACGAAGAGTGTCGCCCGTATATGAGTCGCTGCGGACGTATATCAATCCCATCAAGAGCTGCATCCATCCTTGTAGCAGTTCGACAGGGACGTCTATGCTCTGGCGGTCCAATGGCTGGACATGGGCAAAGATGAGATTGAAACTCATGATCCGAGCCGCCAAGTACCGGAGTTCCATGGTCAGCGACGTCAGATGGGCGCCGCGTGCTGGATGTGTTCTATCCACGAAATACTGGAGTCCGCTATCCTCTCTACTACCGTCCAACTATATTCGCATGGTAAGTGAGTACGCAACGTCTAAGCGGGTGTCTCGGTAGTGTACTCGCTCACCTTGAGGATTAGCTTGATTGCCCCCCAGTATTGAGGGACAGTGATGAAGGCAAAGTTGGTCGGAAAGAAGAATCGGAATACTATGTCCGCCAAGTTGAAAAGGGTAACCTGATCCTCGAAAACGCGTTGGAGCTTGAGCCAGTCCCTCGTAATCTCATCGGTCGGCTTTGAGGCGGAAACCTCGTCAGAACGCGTCTTCATCATCTTATGGACTTCATCCCTGCTTGACTTTGGGCAGGAAATGTATACACTGCGATCCGCAAGGCTTATACCGTTGAGGAGAAATCCATCCACCTCCTCCATATGTCTGTCGAGGGCTTCAGCATCGATTGCGGTCCCATCAGCCAGCGGCACTCCGTCGAGACAGCTGAAAATTGCCGTGTTGGTCATGGAGGCCTGTCCGTCCAATGGGGCAGTCTGAAGCCTCAAAATATTTCGCGGAGGGCCGCGGATTTCCGGCGATACCTCTTCGCCGGCTTCGGGTCTGTCCTCGTGTGTTTGGGCCGGGGTGTCATGATCCAGGGGAAGAAGAATTCCACGGGGGGGAAGGTAGGTCTCATAGGTCCTTGTGATGGGTGTCAGCACACATCAGGTCTGCATATGGTCTCGCAGAGCGTCGAGAAGACAACGGAGCATACCCCAGCTGAAGGTCGAGAGTAACAGTGACAGTCTTAGCCATGTAGCAGAGCCTGGGCCATTCCGTTGACTTGACGGCTCTCTTCTGGAGATAGAAGGTAATCGGCTGAGGCCAGAATTCAAGAAAGTGCATGACGAAGTCCTATCATTGATCTGTTGTCAACCACAATAGCAGAAACCATGAAGCCCGAGGTGGGTATGAGCACTAACAAGCCATGTTGAGCACTCGTCTACAGACAGACGCCACATGACGGAGCCTCCGTATGACACGAGGAGCCTTGTGTTGGGTACGCTCGGTTCTGGTGACAGGCTCGAAGGAACTGTAGAAAGGGAGATGAAGTCGCCGCATAAGTGTGTCTGTGCCATCCGACCGCAAGTCACGAGAAGGGCTACAGTAGCGTCAGCGAATAGTCTAAACGGTCAGGGTTTCCATGTGTGATTCCCACAATTTCCCAGAACCAGGCACCAGAGTTGTGGGATGTGAAAGCACCATGCCGGTGGTGCAATCTGGCTGACAGCCTGCTGCATATCTCGGCTTTGCGTGGCATTAGAGAAGCAAGCCTGGAGGAGAGTAGGCGCGGGAAAGGCAGGCTTGTCAGACGCATCGAGGCCCGAATACTTCTCGAGACTGAAGTAAGGAAGGCACATCCAAGTGATGGCGTGCGACTCGTCGGGTCGGTCGGCGGCTCGGCCGTCTGCCGAAGGGAGGATGTGCTGGATACATGAGGCCTCGACGTACTGCGCATGCCGACCACTTGGAGTGCCTATGGGCTTGATGAACTTGCGCCTCACACGGGTGAGGATGTCGATGATCCCCTTTCGCTCTACCTTTGTGAGGTTGGCGGCTTGGCTTGCAACGTTCTGGGTACCGTTAGACCAGACTAGATTCTGTAGGAATGTTCTCGGCGTGGGGTGGCGGTACCATACCGAGAACTCGGCAAAGTCCATCGATGTACGATAAAGGTGACTGCATTCTGCTAGTTAATAGATGGAGCATGGGGCTGTACAGATGACCAGGTCTACTTACATCCACCGAAACATTGGCTGATTCCTTGGTTTTGGATCCGTCGATGTAGACAATCCGGCCGAGTGAGTGCCACCGATCAACCCGTCGCCGGTATATCGAGACTCGTGGACGTTTGTCACGGGGTGCTTGCTGATGCTGCCGGGAGACCGGGGCTCGCCGATATTCTCGGATCCGCCAGTTCCGTTCGCATCCTGCTCACCACTGCTGAGAGCACCGGTTGAGGAGAGTTGTAGCGACCAAGACGGCACAAACTTGTAGATGACCGAAGGTGCCCCGCCGTCATGTGAGCTGGCGTGCTGTTGGTACTGCCTATTCAGGCTCCTGGGGACCGGTCCCGTTTTGGCATAGCCGTTGGAGTCGTCCGAGTAGACTGAAGATGCGTGCGATGCATGATTACGCCGCGAAGAAGCGGCACTCTGTGATGGGGGGGGGGGTGCAAATCTCCACCGACGAGCCCTCGAGGGCAGGCTGTCCCAGTCTTCGTCCCCGTCGCTGTCGCTGTCGCTGCTGCTGCTGCTTCTGCTTCTGTTCCAAGACGACTCCCTCGTCACCGGCATGAAGCGGACACCATAGGATGCGGGCACAGAGTGATCCCTCTCCCTCTCCCTCGCGCCTATGTCTATTCTGACGTCACCCGAATCTTCTCTCGCTGCGGCTCTCCGCTCACGCTGATGGGAAGCAGGCTACACATTTGCGCGGTCAGGATGTCTCTCCCCAATCTCGTCGTGTTCGAGCAAGGGCCCTCCCTACCTGATTCGCCATCACTATCTCCTCCGGATGATAGGCTGAAGCATCAGTCTCCCGAGAAGAACGGCCGCGTCGTGTGCTACGGACCTCCCGTTCCTGCTCCGTGACAGGGACTACGGGGAAGGTCCGTCTCCGGCGTGGACGCTCGGATGGTGCTGGGGAGCCGACCGGGTACATCTGGCGAGTGGACAATCTCCAGAGATGAGGTCCTCAACAAGCTGTCGCACCGGTTCTATTCGATGCCCTACCCGGAGCCATCACATAGAGCGTGGAGGCAAAAGCCTGCGTCTTTATGTTCTTACCGAGCGGGGTTCCAGTCCCCATGTGCATAGAGGCTGTGGCCCACGAAGTGGCTGGCAGGGATGCATGCAGTGGTGCTTACAGCGCACGGAGCTGAGGCTGCAGGAAATGATGCTCGAGGTGCAGCACAATGGCCTCGATACCAGGGCGGCTGGCGTTGAGTGATTTAAACAGGTTTTGTGTGCCGTCTCCTCGCGTCGGTTTCCCGATGCTCTCTGTCGATTATTGTTAGTTGTGGAAAGGTGGTCAGGAAACGAGGCTGAAGCCGATTATTACGATGATCAAATATTATCTCCGTGCATGCATGCACCCCAAGGGCTAATAGTCGTCTTCCACCAAGAACTGACCCAGAGGCTGGGTGGGCGGGGGAAGCCGGATGCGAACCGGTGCAGCACGGGGCTGAGCGTACGAGGCTTCACAACGTGACTCTTCACACTGGAAGGGGGGGATGCTTCGCCGGTTACATGGCATTCACCGATTGACAGAGAGAATTGCATCTACCTCCTAAGAAGAGACGACGATCTGGCAGTGGCAGTGTATGCACCTCTACACCATATAGGTGATGGTCTGAAAACCGCACTCCGGACACGTCGTGTTGTCTGAGAATCTACTCTAACAGTCATACGGCCGTCCTTGGTATGATTCTATTCAACATGTCAGTATATTCATTGTCGAATCACACTCCATCGCCTCTGATAGATGCCACGTAGCATGCACAGACACATCAGCCGTAAATCTGAGCTCCTCTGCCGCCATCCAAACTCAACAGGCAATAAGAGAAATGCTATATTATGCGTTGAGGGATATACTCTGGTGATGAGTAGCAAGAAGGGAAGTCTATCCAAGCCAGGTAATAACCATAGTAATTCTTTTCTGTGAAGCGAAAAACAGAACCCCGTTTCCCATACATGACCGTGTCGCGTGAGAAGACGTCTTATCGCTCATGCAGATTTTGTAAAGCAACATTAAAGGTGCCCATGAGAGGGCGGGAAGAAAGAAGAGAGAAGAAGGACGGTACAGATATGTAAACAACCGGGTAATATACATATATATATATAATATACACATATAAATCCAGGGGAGGTTGACACACACGAGATGTGCTGCAGCATCAGGAAGCCTGGCAGAGGTCGACTCAACCGTGGCTTTTCTTTGTTGCTAGATTGCCACGGGATCAGAACCGGTGCTGGCGACCGACGCTCTCGACGCGAACGCCCAGCTTGACCATCTCACGAGAGTCGATGACACCGCGACCGTCAAAGACCCAGCGGGGCTTGGCCATGGACTCGGCAATCCGGACCCAGTCGATGCGCTCCTTGGGCTTGTACTCCTCGGCGCTGCCCATCCCGGTAGCGAAGCCGGTCTCCTTGGAGGCGCGGTTCTGGATGCAGTCGGGGCAGTCCTGCTCGCACGCGGGCTCGGGGTTGTAGCGGTCGAGAGGGTCGTCGACGGCCACCTCGGCCTTCTGGACGAGATACTTGTGCAGGGCGAGTATGTCGTTGGGCGAGGGAGCGGCACCGGCAGCGGCAGCGGCAGCGAGGGAGCCGAAGGGACGAGGGTCGACCTTGGGGTTGGGCTTGCGGCCGATCGTCTTGGCGGCGGAGTCGACGGCGGCGCCGGCGGCGGGAGGGGGAGGGGGCTGGTTGCGGAACTCGTCAAACTCGGTGGCGATGACGACGGCGGTGCTGCCCTTGCAGGCGTCGAGGGCGTTTCCGTAGACGGAGATGTTGTCCAGCTGGGCGACGGGGCCGAGGAGGAGCCTGATCTCGTCCTTGATCACGAGGGGGTTGCAGCAGGGATCGAAGACGGCGATCTCGCGCGGCCTCTCCTCGAGCAGGGTCTTGATCATCTCGAGGGCGGGGGCCTCGCGCGTGTCCGACGTGTTCTTCTTGAAGGCAAAGCCCAGGATGGTGACCTTCTTGCCCACCAGCGTGTTGTTGAGGCACTTGATGATGCGGTTCGTGAAGCGGTCGCGCGCGTACTCGTTCATCTTGACCACCTGGCGCCAGTACTCGCCGACCTCGGGCAGGCCCATGGTGTCGGCCAGGTAGACGAGGTTGAGGACGTCCTTCTTGAAGCAGCTGCCGCCGAATCCGATGCCGGCCACCAGGAACTTGTTGCCGATACGCGGGTCCACGCCGACGGCCTTGGAGACCTCGTCGACGTCAGCACCTGTCTGCTCGCACAGGGCCGAGATGGAGTTGATGCTCGAGATGCGCTGGGCGAGCATGGAGTTGGCGACGAGCTTGGCCAGCTCGGACGACCAGACGTTGGTGGTCAGGATGCGGTCGCGAGGCACCCAGGCCGCGTAGACGCCGACGAGGGCCTCGGCGGCCTTCTTGCCCGAGGGCGTGGGCGCTGATCCGATCAGGATACGGTCGGGGTACACCAGATCGTTGACGGCCGTACCGGCAGCGAGGAACTCGGGGTTGGAGAGGATCTCAAAGTGGACACCAGGGCGGTGCATGGAGAGCTGGGGGAGAGAGAGAGAGTGGGGGATCAGCAAGATTAGAAAGACAAGGGCATGATGAATAATGCAACCCCAAAAAAAAAAAAAAAGAAAAAAAAAGGGTTCGAGAGAGAATGAATGGCAGGAGGGATTGAAAGCTTACAGTGTCGGCGACGAGCTGGGCTGTCCGGCAGGGGACGGTGCTCTTCTCGACGATGATGGCACCCTCACGGGCATACTGAGCGACGACGCTGGTGACGGCCTCGAAGGCGGTCATGTCGGTCGCGCTGCCGGCACCGACGCCGCGGTACTTTGTAGGGGTGTTGACGGCGACGAGGACGATGTCGGCCTCGCTGATGCTCTTGGCGACGTCGGTGGTGAAGAAGAGGTTGGCGGGACGCTCGGCGATTGTCAGGTCGGCGGCATCGGGGTCGTCGGGGTCGCTGGAGAAGGCGGTCCTGCGACCTCCGTCACGGGCGATGCGCACGATGTCGCGCAGGCCCGGCTCGTAGATGGGAGGGTGCTGGGAGTTCCAGCGACGGATCCTCGTCTCGTCGCGATCGACGACGGTGACCCTGATGTGGGGGTTCTGGTAGGCGACGACGGAAGCAGTAGGGCCGCCTATATGTACAGAGCATGTGGTCAGTTCAAGATGGTCGGACGTCGAGGCCTACCACCATGTGCGCGCGCGTGGGTGCGTAAGGCGTGCACACAAATGGGTGGGGCACGTCTCTCGGTGCTGCTGAGAGCATGATGCATCAGAACAGACGGTGACGGCGACGAGACATACCGACGTAACCAGCTCCAACGCAGCAGATGTTCTTGACGATGACGTCGCCAGCACCTTCATTCACCGTGCTGGCAGATCCATTGAGCCCGAGGCTCTTGACCGAGTCGACGACGGACTCGGGGACAGACGGCATGGCAGGGGATCTTGTTCGCGTCTCGAATGGTTGGGGGTAGGTCTGTCTCTCTCTTCGAGGTCTCGCGTGCCGTCGAATCTTTGTCCTCGAGGATTTCAGATGAGAGACGTGGCGCGTGGCTGACTCGGAAACGTTTATATGTACAACGGTCGATAGCAGCCAATGTACGCACACGGGAGGGGGTATACAGCAGAGGAGCGAGATGATGAATGGAGCAGGTAGCGAGGAGAAGTAAAGAAGAAGAAAAGTAAACAGAAGAAAAAAAATTAGAACGAAGCCACGTCTGGACAGGAGAGGAGGAAAGGGGAGTCGAGAGGAGGAGGATGTGGAGGGAAAGGCGCCGGGGGGAGGGGCGCCAAGAAGTAAGTCGGAAAAAAAGTCCAGTGAGCACTAATCTCTAGAAACAAAATACGAGCACGCTCGCTCACTTGAACCTGACAGAGGCGGGTAGTACGACGGACAGGACGGGATTAGGATTTAGGAATGAATACCAAGGGGGGGGGGGGGGGGGGGGGGGGGGGGGGGGATCCATCAACACATTTTACGAGGCTGAGTGGGCCGAAGAAGGAAAAGGGCCCCCCTAGACGGTCCAGTCCGGTAGACCATCAACTCAGCCCAACAAGAGAGGGAAGGGAAGGGAGGGGGAAAGGGGGGGGGGAGGGTTTTGAAAAAGGCACAGCACAAGCGGAGAGACACGGCCTGAGAGGGAGGATGATGAGAAGAGACCAGGCTCTAGGGAGGAAGAGAGACCCCCCCCCCCCCCCC